CAACCTAAAAATCAATAAAAAAATATTTTCATTCATGATTACGTACTGGCAAACCACTGAAAAGAGTACCTTAGAACAACTTAAGTCAACTTGCAATCATACTGCTCAATTAAAAAAAAAAATACAAACATGTTTTACATTAGACATTGCAAATTATATTCCAATTTCTGCTCCCGGTAATGAAGGAAGACAACTTGTCCATTACCACTGCACGTACGGGTGGCATTTCAGAAGCTAGCACAGAGTTCCCTCTAACTTGTTGTGGACAGGGTTAGCTCTGTGGGAAGAGGCATATAAAAAAGGGGAACATACACTCTGCTCCCTACCTGCAGGTACCTGCCAGAGGGTAGGAAGAGCCAGAATGAGATTTGCAATCAAGTGATAAGGTTAATGCCGGATCGCCACTCGTCCAGTGCGATGCTGCAGGTTTTAAAATGAAGCAGTTGATTAAAACATCCCCTCTACGGCTCAGCCACCTCCCTTCTTCCTTGAAAGTTACAGTGCTTTGGCAATATCAGCTAGGAGCGAATTCTTGACCATATGATAACAAATACCTCAGCTTCATCTTAACAAGTATAGGAAGAGCCCAGAATCGCGCTTTGATGTCTCTTTCTGTTAGCATTTCACACCTTGAGAGCTTGTGACCAGTCATGCTGAGAAGTGTTTACTATTAAACATAACAAATTAGCAGTAAAAGGGACAGATTTGAGGGAAAACCAGAGGAACAGGATTCAGCAACAGATTATGTTCTTGCAACGTCAGGTTTCTTACACTTGAAACTTTGCCAGAATCGAGCAAATCCTACTTATCGTTGCAAAATCTTTGCCAAAGCACACCCAAGGGCAAAAGTCTCTCAAACAAACAGCCGTAGATTAAAAGCTGCCGGGGAGATCAGCTAGCGGGCTTGCTGCCTTCTACTTCTCGTACCCTGGCAACTTACTAGATCAAAGACAGAATCAAGTCCAGCCTGTTCCAGGTGCAGGATATTCCTGCGGCGGTTTACCTGAGCAAGCCTTCAGCAACGAATAACGCCCCACTGCGAGGTCATTTTACAGCTTATCCCATCATCAGCTCTGACGTACTCAAGTGAAAAATGACTTTACAGAACACGATGCAGCGGCTTGGGAGGCCAGCCGAACTGCGCAGTATCACAGAAGTTTTACATTAGGAAACGAAAAGTGGACGCCGTTCTGTTGTGAATTTCTCACACAGAGTTATTCTGAACGACAAGAAGCGGTACAAGCTGACGGCACTGCTGCAGGAAAACACGCTTTTGGTGGGGTTGTAGGAAAAGCCCTAATGAGCCCTCCTCTTCCAGCTACACCCTCTTACGTTACTTCTGCTGCTGCCAATAGAAAGCCTGTCCAAAGATTGAGGGGATGTGGCCTCAACTGTACCCCGTCTTCAGCTGGGAAAAGGAGAAGAAATTGATACCAAAATGACTTTTAAGCTTGGAAGGGTGGAAAGTGAGTCATAAAATATAGCACTCATCAAAAAATGGGACAATCCTCCACTGGCAAAGGTGAGCTGGAAGATCCACAGTAGCACTTCTGCGTTCCCAGGTGTGCGGTAGTCTCTTGGCAAGCAACTCCCAACCCTATAGCAAAATTATTAGGTACAAAACAGCAATACCAAATTTGTGCACAAATACTCTCTTTCAGTATGGGAAAGCAGCTAAAATTCACAGAAACTCAGAGAGATCACGGCCTGCATCAAAACAAGTGTATGCTTTGTTGCTGTTTACGCACTGATAGCAGCAACATTCAAGTGCCACGTTCCCTGCTCTTGGTGGAACGCAGAAGAAATGGAGCAAGTTTCTGAAGCCCTCACCTGGAAAAGGCAGCACACTAACAGCATGTCCATAAGCACATCTTACGTGTTACACTTTATCCAATTAAAACCAGCGAAGATCCATGTTTCTGAATAAAAATTATCTTTCCCATATTTACTGAGATTTTAGTCTTCTGGGAGTCAGTTTTACCAGCTCTTCAGCCTGTCAGCAAAGACTTAATTAAAAAGCCAGTGCTCCTAGCATTAAGAACTAGGATAAATGTATAAATCTCGAGATTAAGTCATAAAGCCCCTTTCAGATCATAACGGGATGGAGTAGGGGGGAAAATAAAGGTCACAGGTATCCACCCACATCTTTGTACATTACCTACACGTTTTCAATTTCAAAATACTGTAGTACACTTACCCTTGAATATGAAAGTTAAATTGATTACAAATAAGACCAGCTGTTTTACACTTTACTCTTCCCAAAAATAAAATACCACAAATTTGCAGTGTGCTTCATATTTTTGCTTTTACGTCCCACTGAACTCATCGTTGAATGTACGCGTTGAAAGAAAATGAGCTCCCTCCTTCAAGAGGAAAGTGTTGTTATAGATACACTGCTTTGTAAGAGACAGGACAACGGGTGCCTGTGCTGACAGTTGCACAGCTCTCTCGGTATCGTATGGAGTAGGGTTATATACAATCCAACGCGTAGCCACCTCCACTGAACTTCAAAACACAAGTTGCTACTCAAGATACATCGGTATGTTACAAGTTCAGAAAAATCTCACATTTCAAGACAGTGTTGAGTCTACTCTTCCCCTTCTGGCAAGCAGCATGTTTATGGCAGACCTGAGTATGGGAATTATTTCACACCCTTACATACTTAGGGAAGATATAGGCCAGATGACAGAAAATACTCTGAAACAGCAAAGAATTGGCAATCTCAATATATTTACAGGCAAAGAAGCATATCGCACCGTAATTTAAGTTATTGCTTCTTGTGGACAAGTGTGGTATTCCTTGATCGGGACACACAGGACCTGGTTGGTGTTTATTTTCCCCTTCCGAAGCACAATGACTCAGGACCACTGTGAGCACGTTTTTGAAACGAAGGTATTCCCTATGACTAGAGCTATGTCTACAGCGTGGTCGTCGCCAGCTGACCAACCGCTGGTGACAGCAAGCTTACGGAGGTGAGCTTCCAGAGGCGTTTTCAAACCCAAGGATCACTCTCGTGCTCCCACGGTCATTCTCGGCTTAGTCTACGTTACAGGGTTTGATACAAGAAAACCTCCCGTAGCCTTTCAGAAGAGATTTATGGATACCAAGAATGCCAAACTAGGATCTAAGGCTGACCTCGTATCAGTTCCTCAAATAATCCAAGGCATTGCTGCTCTACTGTGCTGACGGAAGCAGCAGCAGACTCTTGCCTGCAAAACCATGCATCAGAGCGATTGCTAGTGGCATGCAATCTGGTCCTAAACACTGGTCCTAAACGTGGGACAGCAGTGATAACTGCTGGGTCTTTAAACCAGCTGCTTGCATCTGAACACAGAAAATGAAGGTTTTCAAAAAAAAACAGTAAATGAACTAGAAACATGAACTACCAAAACTGAGCTTAAGTTGTAAACAGATTTATGTTTTTAATATTTACCTACTTAGTCCCCAAGCCAAAGGCTATCTATCACCTCAGAGCACAGGACGCCAAAACACTTACCTACTCCCTTTACTACAGGTGAGTTTCTGTAGGTGTGAAGCCAACAGCAAACATTAAATCAATGCAAATGCAAGAGTTTAACTTTCAGAAGACAGCACGAATTTAGAACATTGGAATAGTGGGCCTGCAGGCAACACCACTATTTGAGTATTACAGGCGCTGTAATTCCTCACACCCCCCCTCCCCAAGATCATACAAGGCAACACAAATATTCTCGGCTAAAAAGGGATCTGTACAGGGAACGACTGTACATTCGATGTCACTACAGAACTGAAAATGTGACAAAATGATTCTGCTCCCACCCAAAAAGAGAATACGACAGGGCCCCATAGTTACAGGCTCAGATGGACCAGTGACGCAAGCCCCAAAATGTAGAAACTGCACCGGTGATTACGATAATTATCTGGTTTGGACTCCTTTAGATTTGCAGCATAACAAAGGCATTTTACAGAGCAACATTCAGGAGGAAATGTTATCCAGGCAAGAACTGCTCTGCAAGCAAGATAGGAGAGTTCAATAACATGCACTGCACTTGTTCTCCAGATAGCAGCAGTTGCTCCTGCCCTTTGCCCTTTTTGATATGAATCACAGTAGCAACAGAGAGAAATATGTACTTAAACAAGAAAAGCAGAACTATGTATGTACAAGAGAAGTGTTTGAAGTGTTGTGCAATTTAACTATTGAAATCCACCAAAAATGCTGTCGCTAATAAATATTCATAAACTCTTCCCTGTGCTGTGAAATTCAGAAACTACTACGATTAATTCTTGATACAAAAAGTATGCTTCTAAGCCCTGACATCTGTTCCAGTTTACTGTCTTTTCTTTGCCCCTGCCTTTTTTTTTTGAACTGTGATACCTCATGGGAACTAATACTTCTCCACAGTTTTACTTGGTGTACCCCTCCCAGAGACATGCTGTGTTTTGTGGAGCCCTGGGTATACCGATATAATACAGTAAAACAATAATAAATTAAACAAATGCAGGTGCATCTAAAAAACAAACCACACTGTCAAATGCTGGTCTCCACATGAAGAGACCAAAGATTTAGATGCAAAGTACTACAGGTCCTGCCATCAAAAAAGACATTCAAACAAGGAAGCAAAAACTTGTGCCTAAGTGTTTGAAAAATTAAACGCAAATCCCACCTCTATGTTATCTCACCCACGCCTGTGAAAAACCCTCTTGCTGTGCCCACATTTGCAGTTATTTATTTACACCTCAGGAGGCAGCCTGGAGATGAGAGTAGTACAATAAAATAATTACCTGAAACATTTTTAAAAAAATACCCGTTAAACAAATTACCTTAACTGGCAGCACTTAAAATTGGTAATTCTTCTTCTTTTTCCTATTTAAAAAAAAAGTTGCATAGCTGTAAGATTTTGCTTTGCTGCATTTTTTTTCTTGTTGTTTTTACTCACAAGCAGTAAAAGAGAAATTTTAGTTACTTAAATAGCAATACAATGTGCAGATTCCAACAATCCCTATAGCTTGATCAATATAAATTAGTTACCTGTCTCAGTTTTACTCTTTGGACTGCATTGTGACAAAGGTTTAGTTACAAAATTTTGAAATATAGTATTCCTATGCAGAGAAGTTTATGTTTTCTGCTCTTGGAAAAAAGTGAGGAACGTAAAACAGGGTGTGAATTCAGCAAATTAAGGTCACTCTGTTAGATTATATTTAGTTTGCCATTTACTCTTCTTCAGCCAACGAGAAGGTGGCCTTCTCTCAAAACCGGGGCCTTCTTCCTGCAAGGGTCTCAGATAGCACGTATCGAACGTCTCCGCTTCCACCCGAGGCAGCGGGAAACATATCCAATAACCCGCTTCTTCACAGAACCACAAGTTAGGCTGAAATTGGGAACTTTGGCCTTCGATACAAAATAGCGTCAGTAAAGTCTGCGGGGAGTCGATTGTGACAGAATGTGCAGCATTTTCAAAATCCCTGTGTGTCCTTTGCGCGAGTGTTCGGTACACCGAGCGCGACTGGCGAGTAACTGGCGGCTGCGGCGCTTTTTCCATGTCACTGTCCATCTTCGCCTTTTTCAGCCACAAAGGACCAGAAGTCTCCAGCCAGGCACGCTGTGCTCAGCAAGGGAACCTCACACCTCCTATGTTTTCTGATCAGCGGAAGCAGCTGTGAAAAAGCAGAAGACAGAATTAGCACTGTTTCAGCTATTTCAGTACGTAACACGCACAAACAGCATGAGAGCAACCACCGTGTCTTCCTTCCCTTTTTCCCTAAGCCCCCAGTTATCGCCACCTCTGCTGTGAAAAAAAAGCAAACTGGATTTGATGTGAGGTTAATCGCCCGGGAGCATGTAGAGAGCCAAACATGTCCATAAGCAGCACGCGGGCTTCTGCCACAATTCAGTTGTTGGGGGCAAGACAGGAAACGCGTTTGTTTATTAATATTGGGTAGCGCTGCCCTGAGGTTAAAACAATTATCCTTGTAGCAGGATACCTTCCCTCAGGTTTTCTCTGCCACCCCTGCAACCACCACAGCACTGCAACATGACCTGCAACGCAGACTCACGAAGCAAGATGAAACGAACAAATAAACGCCAATGATGAAGCCTTCAGTTATGTGGTTTGTTTGGTTTTTTTTTAAATTTCCATCAGAACAACAAAACCAAACCATCACCTACCAGCCAGAATTTCAGATATCTACATTTCTCTAAGAATGATGATGATTGTTGGTGTGTTCTGTAATGCTTAGGGGCACTAATTTAATGCACAATAAAGTTTTCAAACTAGTCAACTATAAGAATAAACCTGTCCTTTAAACCTTTGACACTGACTGCAGATCTGAAATCATTAACACAAAACATAAGCTGGAAAAACGCGAACCTCTGTGTGATGGGATGGATAGAAACATGTTAACATTTTTATTTCTTCATCTATTTTAAACATTCTGGAATGCATTAACATGAAAGTGTTTTTCAAAATACCCAGTTTCAACTTTTTCATGGGATTCCAAAAGCTTTCCGTCAGAAATAAATGCCAGTATTCATGGAACAATCCAAAATTACACAATTGCATTATTTTAATTTTTTTTCATTTCCATGGAAAAAATACTCAGCTTTACTGGCACTGACTTGCCACTTTCCAGTACTAAAACTGGAATACATCATTTCAGACCATGCCATATAAGGATGCAGAAACCTTTTACATATTGCAATATATGTCAATACTTACTAATTAACATTGCAGTTCTGAGACACAGTAGCAAATTCACAAATTAAAAAAATAGCATAAAGAGTTATTTTCAATAAGCAAGATATTTATTGTTGAAATGTACGCAGCTAAAAAGAAATATTACCTAAAACCACGAATCTTGTCTTAATCTGATGGATGCTCAGGGCAAGATCTATTTACTTCAAACCATTCATCTATGCAGCTGTTGGGTGTAAGACAAAAATGAAAACAATCAACATTAATATCTCAGTAACATTTCACAGTAAGATACAAATATAAATTGGTTTCTCATAAATTCAATGACTAGTAGAATTTTATATTTTATATATATATATATATAAAGAAGCATACGTATAAATACACATCATTGGAAAATTTGAAAACACCAAATCACGGTCATATTTGGATATTAAATGCTGTTGAATAAGTTTCCTAAGTGTTCGAATTTTCTAAGGAAGAATTTTACAAGTTACTATCCAGCTTTTAAACAAAGGTTACTTCACTACTAACACCATCATCTTGCTTGTATCATTCATCGACATTTTACTTCCTGGAGGGACAGACACTTGTGAAAACAAATACGAAACACGTTTAAAAAGTGTTCGGCCCTCTCCTCCCCAAGCCTACTAGCATTTGACAAAACTTCGGTACACACAGCCCAAGCTCCCTAGCCGTGACGTGCACTCCTTTGCCACACAGGTGATTCTGCCTTATTTTTCCTGTGGGCTTTTCATGCAGACATGAGAAGACTACAGCAGGGAAAACTGACTTTAAATACATTTTTTGGAGACACAGAAAGATGTCATTTCAAAAATATCTTCAAGGTTGCTGCTGTTGTTTCTTTGTTGTTTGTTTGGCTTTCTAAATGTAAAAAGCAAGTGAGTTTTGGTGCTCCTTTAAGCACCCCTTAGAGGAGTTACCCAATAAATGTGACCTTCCGGAATTCTATATACATCCCGAGGAATACTTGCCCTTTATGATATATGCAGAGGCAAGGCAGCCGTGCTATAGTATCTCCTTGCTGCAGCTCTTCCAGGCATATTGCACACTCCCCAGCATCTTTACTCAGCACATCCTCTGCAGAAAGAGGACAGAGTTAAACGGTTGAAAAGCAGACCACTGCAAGCAAAACATTCTTTATTCAGAACACCAAGGCCAGCTACAGAAGATACTTCTTGTCCTGCAGCAAGCCCTGCCAAGGTGACGATCGGCCACACTTACACCAGCTGACCAGAGGCTCCCAATGGGAGATGTCTGAACAGCTCAGATACAGTTATGATTCAGTGTCTTGCCTAAACACAGCCACAGCTCAAAATGAAGTGCTGTAGGAAGACACCCATACGGAGACGGTAGGTAGCCATCATCCACAGCCAGTATCCCTCTGCAGTTCATACTCTCCCGGCAGATCCATACCTCACTGCGTGGGCTGCTCAGATCTGACCTCGGAGACCTGCACTCCAAACCCTGCAGCCATGCTCTGCTGCCGACCCCAAGAGCTCAGCCTTGGAGACATCAGGTTCTTCTGGCTCTGGGGCTTTGAGTATTCATGCTGGGGGGGGAGGGTGTTCCTAACTGTCTCCTCTTCCCCAGCCTTTCACTCCGGGGGTTAAGTTCAAGCCAGAACGTAACAGGAAACTGCAGGGAAATAACTGCAGGGAATTAACTAGGTAAAGGTGATCTTCACTTCTAAACGCTTAGCCTACCATTCGCTTTTTCTGCTCTCTCCTACTCCTCTCTCTTCTATACATCTGGCTTTCTTTTACCAGCCTTTCTGGTACTCACATTGCATACCTTCAACCTCCTCTTCTCGCCATGCCAGCATGTTCTACCACATCCCATCCACATTTTCCTCAATGTAAAGTACACAACTGTTAGCAATAAGAGTGGGAGTTTTCCATCAGGGAAGGATCAGTGCTGTATGGCTCCAATGACCCTAAATTTCTGGAAATAGTGAATTTTTTGCAGCATTACCAAGTCCCATAATGAATGGGAAGAAAGTAAGTTCCTAGGAATGCACAGGAGTTGGCTTTCATACAGAAGTTTCTGGGAAAATATATCATTTTTAATAAAAACCTTCTCTCTTGGACACTTCTCTTAGCTAGAACGTGGGATGCAGAATTCAGCCTTAGCACAAAGCAAACCAAGAGATCATGTAAGGCCCCGTTTGCCAGAAGCAGGTTCAAAGTCCCAGTCAGACACGAACTCACACAGTGCACGGAGCACTCCCAACAGGGATCACGTCGGAGCCCAGCTGGCAATCTCTGGAGGATCAGAAAGGCACACACTTGGCAAAGTAAAGCCCACCTGTTCAAATCTCTGCAGCTTCTGGGGAAAAGCTTCCCCTTCTTAACCAAAACGAGCCTAAAAGGACTGTTTATGGAGAGCACAATTCCCAGGTGTCACTGAGAAACCACTGGCTCTAAGCTCTGCTCTCCAGTGGCTCCAGTACTCATCACTATGGCATTCCAAACACACTGAAAATGACAAGCACACAGCTAAAAAGCTATCACTGCAGCAAAAAGTGAAATGAAATTAGGTCTATGCTGTTCCCCTTGGAATGACAGCAAGCTGTCTTGCAGGTGCTTGGGTTTCTAAAACGGTGCTTGTTTCAGTCTCTGCAACATTCATCGGTTATGCTAAAAATACCTTATCATGCCATGTGTGTGGCATCTTTGTGAGGATATGTCAAGAGCATCTAACATGAGGTCATCTGCTATAAAGAAAAATATTCAAAACAAAATAATAAACAATATACACCTCTCACAATGAAGAAAAAAACCCATGTATTTTACACATGGTAATACAGTGCCTACCAATAATGTTAAGAAACTATTTCTGTTGTTCTAGCGGATAAAATTCCAAGAGCATTAGAGGTACCTATAGAGAGAAAGCAATTTAAAACAATACAAAAGATCTTAAGAACTCTTCTCTGTTGATACAAAATCCTGACACTAAGAACTTGCCCAGAAGAGGGTGCTAAGGATAAATACTTCCTTGAGGTGGTGTGTCTTGGGTTTTGTTTTTTGTTGTTGTTGTTGGGGTTTTTTTGTTTTGTTTTATTTTATTAAAAAGATACTTTAGTATCTGACACCAGGAGGCAAAGACTCCCCAGACAGCATTGTCCTGCTACAGAGATATTAATCTTCGCCTGAGGCTCTCAGGCACCACTCTCCCAAACCGCCCCTTTACACAAGTACCTTGCGAAAAGTCCTGTGAGCAGATCCACTCTCTTCCCACAGTTACGTTGCAGGAAGAAGCACCATTAATAATTCAAGCACGTATCATATACACAGAGCATACTTAATAAAAGTAATTTTTTTCACGGAGTCACCTTATCAGATCAGCAGCTGCTACCCAAAACAAAATGCCACCAAGATACCTCCAGTGAATTAAACTCCAGCCTCCCGCCCTCAGCACTCTCAACGGGGAAGCATTTAGTCAAGCGCTGATGACAAAAACTAAAAAGCTGTCCAATAAAAACACAATTTATAAAAGAAAACATTCCCGTGAACTGCCTTCACATCACTAGCGTACGTGTCTGGCTCATCGTGCGCTCCCCAGACTGAACAGTGCTTGGGTGGGAACCCCCGCCGGGCGATTGAACGAGGGTCTGCACCTTTGGGCTAGCATTAGGGCAAGGTGCCAGGTTAAACATTTGCATCTCCCACCAGCCCTGGCGTAAGTGTCTGAGGCTCATTTCTCTTCCCTCCAGCACTCCTGTGCCCTCCCCAAACGCCATTAGCTTCCTTCTTGCCAACACCAGCCCGGCCGCAAACAGCTTGCCGCCCTCCCTGGCTTCACCCCAGGCTTCCCCACCGGGATGAGACACACCGGGCTTTGCTGAATCGTGCCAGAACCTTACGAATCCTACCAGGCTCTTGCGCCAGAGGAAAGCCTGAGTACTGAAGGAATTAGTACAAAACACCCAACTGCTATAAATGCCCACGTGCAACTTGGCTGCGCGTTAACAGACTCCAAACCCGTGTAATTATGCTCACAATTGATTACACACGGAGAGTGACGACAGCAAAACCAACTCCTTCGTGGACCTATGACACTTTGGTTCTGACTCCCTTTCGGCCATTTTAGGTGATTCAGATCATCAATCCCAGATAAAGTAAAAGGAGTGAAAAAACCTGTTAATCCTGGATCCGGTCAGAATTTGTCCTGTACAGCACTCTCCTGTACCAACACTGGCTTATACCAGATGGAAGTCAGTTTAGGGGCCATTTAACACTGACTTTTGAACATATCTGTTACAGAAAAGTGTGTAAATCATGCTGCACAGAACCACTGCAGTCTGAACAATTTTTTTGTTTTCGTATTTTCCTGCAGTGGAGTGATTCAGCAGATACGGATTTTTCTTTTTCTCTTGTCTCTTTAAAAAAAAAAAAGAACAGTTTGAGATTTCATCAATGTTATGATTAAAACATTTACATGAGTGCTATTACCTAAATGGAAGTGGGAAGAGGAAATAAGCAGAGGCCACATTTTTCCATTTCGCCCACACGTGGGTACGTACACAAACACTCCCCACACCCCCAACATCCATCTGCCTTGCACCAAATTGGAGGTAAACACTCCTCCACCTTCCCAGCTATCTGAACAAGTACTCACTAGCCAAAGACTGGTGTCAAAGATGTAATCTGGCAAAAAAGCCTAGCATTTCCCTCCTGTGTCTGCTCAAGTTCTGCTTTCTCCTCTGTCCCTGGTTAATAATACTACTGTTCTAACTTCTGGTGGTCAGCAGATTTTCCTTCTAAATTTCTGCTTTTAACTTTACTAAAAAAATAAATCCTACTGCACTCCTGCATTTATAGCAAAACAGGTAGTACGGAATTAAAATACAATCATCCTGGCAATTTTGCACATACTTTACCAATTAAAAACTTTTTCTACAACTTCTGAAAAATATATCCAATAACTACCAAAGCCACCAACTCAGCCACGGTTAAAATTATAGGCAATGCCTGTGATGAAATGGTCTGTCTTTAAGCTGAGGACTGCAGAAGCACATGCAATACATGCCTTATTAAGTCTTTCAAATCTGTGCTGCTGCTTTTTGTATTTATTTTTAAAACACAGATAGATATAGCCCTAGGCTCAGGAAACCCCAAGTCACAAATCATGGAGATGGACACAGTATCTGGGGAGACATCACCTTTTAGCTGCAGTATTTTATTTCTCTCTAGGCATTCACTGGAAATAGAACACCAAGTTAGAAAGACCTTTGATGCAATCTAGTATGACAATTTTTCAAAATATCTGTATTTTTTCTAAAACGTAAAAGCTTAAATGTCTGTGGAAGCTGCCACCACAGCTAGATTAACAGTGAAGGACTCCACGACAGTGCACACTTTCAGCAACATGACTGAAACTTAATCGGAACACACCCTCCAAACAGTATCTTATCAGCACTAAAATTGGTAAAACAAGAGCCACAAGAGATGAAAAAATATTGATGAAACTTCCTTAGAAAAAATATTGATGAAACGTCATTAAATAGTACATATTACCATATATCTGTTACACACTTGTTAGCATTTGTTGCTGATTACTAAAAGCGCTCTCAGTTAAGTACTACAGACTGTCTTTGCTCATTTTTAAATGGAGTACTTCAAGCTCTAGACATCTAGAAGCCAACATATTTCTTAACACATATAGTATGAACTCATCCACATTGCAGAATTTGTTCCACACTTACACTGATACCACGTTCTGGGACGATCCAAAGTTTTTCCTTACGCTGTCACAAAGCCAAGTAGACCAGAAGGACCTGCATATTCCACAGGTAACTATTGGGTAGCCAGTAACTATTGGGTAGCCAGCAAGTATGTGTGTATGTGATTAACATACTCCTTAAATGTTACTGACTCGATTTACTAAGTCTTTCCAGCTTCTGCCGTATCTGTTCTCCTCCCTCTCCATTCCTTTCCAGCTATTTCCCACAATCCTTTCCTCCACACCCATTTTCCCCAAAATATCATTCTCTCTAGATCTACTTTTTCTACCACTCCTCCTACTCCCCATCATGTCATTTCATTTACTGTTGTAATGCAGCCATTGGAGAAAGGAGG